TTTTGGGCAAACAATACCGCGCGTAGAAAAGTAAATTTACAGTTGAACCACTGATGTCACACGGACTACTTTGTCGATCATCTTGGTACTTTTCTGGACCTTGAACGTGGTAGTTACCTTGCTGTCTATGGGAGGGTCAGAAAACCCTCAGATTTCATCAAAAATATCTTAAATTGTGTTCCGAAGATGAACGAAGGTCTTACAGGTTTGGAACAAAACTTGGAACAGGTTTGGGTGAACTAACCCTTTAATGCTGTACTGTATATCAGAGCGCTGCCCTTGTACTTTTTTGTACTTGCCGATATACAGCCATATCGCACTGTTGCTCGTGTGATATTGCTCATATTTGTGTGTGTATACACACAAACACACACACAAGCAATATCACACAATCAGCAGTGCAATATAAGCCATATAAAGAATAAAAGATTAATGAGACCAAACACTGCCCATTAGATTTACCCAAAAACAAATTATATCTTATTTTAACCACTATAGAGACATCAGAGCCAGCCGCAAATTCCAGAAGATCTGGCCAAGTTAAGGCTGCTCTCGGCGGGTTCATGAGCGCTGAACGGCCGCTGATGCCCAGGAGCTCACATCTCCCCCCAAAATAATGAAGGAAGGAAATTTTCAAATAGATGTTATCTTTATTAACAAACCGCACAACAAAAACAGTATTATTTATAAAATTATAGTGGATTTGGGTGTCTGCCATGACACTCGCTGTGATGTTCTGTTAAAAAGTTTGTTTTTATATTAAGATTTATATGAGAAAAAAAAAAAATCTAAGGCTTATTTATTATTGGCTCAAAAATACAGTAAAAAAGCAAACATTATGAAATATTAATACAAATACAGTAAGTTATTATAGTATAGTATGGTATAGTATTATATTATAAATAATATTTTAATATATATTTAAAATGTAATTTATTCCTGTGATCCGAAGCTAAATATTCAGCATCATTACTCCAGTCTTCAGTGTCACATGATCCTTCAGAAATCATTGTAATATGCTGATTTGCTGCTTAAGAAAATTTCTTATTATTATCAATGTTGAAAACAGTTGTACTGCTTAATATTTTTGTGGAAACCATGATACATTTTTAAGGAATTCTTTGATGAATAGAAATTTTGAGAAGAAAAAAAAGCGTTTAATCTAAATGGAAATATTTTTGTAACAATATAAAAGTCTAAACTGTCCTTTCTGATTAATGTAATGCATCCTTGATGAATAAAAATATACATTTTAATAATCTCTAAAGATATCATAATGCACATGTGGTGAAAAGAAAAAGCTTTTTCAATATGAAATACAAATTGCAAACAGGGACAGCTCCTCCTGACAAGACCAGGATTTAGCCCAAGGAGCCTTCTTATAGAAGTCAACTGAGGACAATGAAAATTTCGGGCTAAATATGAGACCTATACTTAGTACAGATGCTTAAGAAAATTTCTTATTATTATCAATGTTGAAAACAGTTGTACTGCTTAATATTTTTGTGGAAACCATGATACATTTTTAAGGAATTCTTTGATGAATAGAAATTTTGAGAAGAAAAAAAAGCGTTTAATCTAAATGGAAATATTTTTGTAACAATATAAAAGTCTAAACTGTCCTTTCTGATTAATGTAATGCATCCTTGATGAATAAAAATATACATTTTAATAATCTCTAAAGATATCATAATGCACATGTGGTGAAAAGAAAAAGCTTTTTCAATATGAAATACAAATTGCAAACAGGGACAGCTCCTCCTGACAAGACCAGGATTTAGCCCAAGGAGCCTTCTTATAGAAGTCAACTGAGGAAAATGAAAATTTCGGGCTAAATATGAGACCTATACTTAGTACAGATGGTTACAAGATCAAATGAGGCATGAAGGCTGGGTCTTGGACGTGTGCTTTCCATCAGATTGTTCCCATGGAGACACTCTCAAAAGGGAGAGGCCTTTATCTTGATGTCAGAGCCAAGTATCAGATCTTACACTGATTAAATCTGGCCACCAGAACCTTCATCTGTTCACTGTAACAACTGCTACAAATCCCAGCATGTCCCTGGCATGCTCTACAATTACTCCAACATGAAGAGCTTTAAAGGCAACAAACAGTGCATTTTGTTGGCCATGCCATGTGATGGTTAAAATGGGCATCAAACAATCAACCAGAAATTGTGATGAGAGAAATATAGTATTTATAGTGTTTTGATTGAAACAAAAAATGCATTTATGCCCTTTCTTTAAAATAAATGACACATTGAACAGTTCTAAAAAGAACCTTTTTTTAATATAAGGAACATTTTAATAATCTAAATAAATAAATAAAAACTCCTTTTGTGTACTTTTTGTCCCATTGGTTCTTTATGGAACCAACAGATAGTTATAGATACCAATAAAAAAACTTTATTTTTTAGAAGTGAATGGATTACAGGAAATGGTGCGTGTAGCAGTAGCTTGCGAATAATTTTGACATGCTGTAGCCATATAAACGCTGATCATTATCTCGCTAAAGCGAGTAAGGCATTATGCTCTCTGATAACCACTTTGCTGATGTATCTCATCCTGCAATCTACTCTAAGACGGGAAGGACGGCTGTGAGGAATATTCATGAAGCTTTTGGGGTCCTTTTTTATAGTCTCCAGTCATTCTAGGCTTCTCATT